GCCCTTGCCGGCACTCAGAAAGCCCCATCCCTCCCGCCCCCCGGCTGCCCCGCCCCTCGTTGGCCGGCCGCGGGGCGGGAGGCGGGGCCGTGACCCCGGGCCCGGGTGCGGCGAATCCAGTCCCCGCGAGTTGCCTGGGGCTGGGGCAGAGTTCCAGGCCGACGGCCCGGGTCCCGGCCCCGCCGCCCTGCTGTGCTCCGCGGTCCGCGCTGGGAGCGGGCCTAGTGCTCTGACCTCTTACGTCCGGGAGCCGGACTCCCGGGCTCCCGCGTCCGCCCCGGCTCCGCACCTCTGGCAGCCTAAGGAGAGTCGCTGGCCGTGGTCGCCACTAGGGTAATGGGGCAGATAGGCCAGGGAGGGGGAGGCCTAGGGCCCGATGGGGGCGAGAGGGATCGTGGCGTGGTCCGCGCACACCCTGGGAAGCCGGAGGCCAGAACTCGCCTCCCACCTCGAGCCCGGGTACGGCCGGCTGGCGGAGCCGTGGCCAGAGTCCGGCCTGGCGTGGCGAGCCGCCCCCGCGGCCGCTCAGGATCTGCGGGGAGTCCCGGGCCGCCGGTGGTGCCTGCTGGGGTTGGCCGCTCCAGGTGCGCGGGGCCCCTGCCGTGCGCGGTGCGCTCACCCCCCAGCTCTTACCTTCGGCGGCGCTCACGGGCCTGGCGAGTTTCCAAACAGAAGACACGCTCTGGCCCCGCCTCCTTCTGCGAGTTAGCTACAAAGTCCCCCCAGTGCTGGACTGGGAAGGAATCGTTTACAAAATTAAGTGCTCAGGCGTCGTTTTGTCCGCGGTATTTAAATTCAGCGTTGTTTTTTTACGTCGTGGGTTTGTTGTGTGAAGTCCCTTTTTCCTCAAAACTTGATCGCGACTTGTGACACAGCGCCTACCTAGCACAGTGCCTGCACACGGTGGCGCTCGGTAAAGATTTCTTGAAAGCACGAGTCACAAGATTAAGTTTGGATAATTCTACCGAGCCATTGGGCGCTATAATCTTTAAGACTATGGGTTCCCAAGATCACTCTGAAAATTACAGTAATTTTAAAGCTCAACAAAGTGATTTAAGTCTTTTTCTTGCATTCTCTGTAACAATGGCCTCTGCTGGATGCCTAAATTAACTTAAAACCCAAGTTCTGTAAATACTCATAGATGCGCCCTTTGGTTTCCACAGAAAGTGTTAACCTTTCAGATCCGAACCTTCGAGTGAATCATTTTATTTTGGAACAAGTTAAAATTATGTATAAAGCTTTATTTTACTTAGCTTTTTATACGTGTGCAAGGGACTACACTGATGTACTCATGAATATATTTAGAAATATAGGTCTTTTAAGTAGGAATTTGTTTTGTTTTGTTTTAGTACGGGTTTTAAAAATAGGGTTTATATTCATACCTAGTGAGAGAGCATGCAGGAGAAAATTGACAGCAAATCCCCACCCCCCACATTTTTGCCAGGTGCAGCTGGTGCCTTGACCTCAAAATGTCTTGAAAAATTATCTCTTTAATAGTCTGGTGAATCTAAGGCAAAGACCTCTGGGATTAAACCACCCTGTGGGGACAACCCTTTTTTTTTTTTTTTTTTTTCCCTTTTTTGTCTTTTTTACTGACCAGTAACGGGATCGCAACCCTCGGTGTCGCGCCCGTACCAGGGACCGGCAACGGGATCGCAACCCTCGGTGTTGCGTCCGCACCGCGCTCAGCCAGTGAGCGGGAACCGGTCTCCACATGGGATCCGAACCCGCGGCGGGAGCGCCGCCGCGCTCGCAAGCGGCGCACTCTCCAGTGCGCCACCGGTCCGGCCCGGGACAACCCTTTTAATACTAACAGTTCTTACAGATTGTGCCCGTTTCTAATGAGTTTTTCTGAAAAATAAATAATGTAATGGAGTTTCAAATTGTTTTGTTGTTTAAGACAAAATCTGTAACAACCTGCTAATATTAAATGAAGATAGCAGGATTCAAAATTGTGATAACCAGACAATTCAGTTAATTACAACATTCCTAACCTTTCTGCTTGTAGGAAAGTCAGCTAAAAGCAGTCAGGACGTTTTCTGTCTTGATTAACAGTGTCTGTCCCCAGTTCCCAGCACAGTGCCCAATCCAGTGCCTAGCCATAAAGTCTTGTACAATGAATATTTGGGTGTTACAGGTAACAGTGTAATGACTTGCTATGTGTGTATAGTTGCTTTGTTTACCTGAATATCTCTTTAGAATAGAATACTAGGAGTGGGAATTTTACTGGGTCAAAGGTATGAATATTTTCATGCTTATCAAATCATTGCCAACTTGGTTTACAAGTGAGCCTTACCATTTTGGCCTGCCACCAATAATATTTGAATGCACCTTTCAGAGAGCATCCTCTCAAGCTTTTAGATTGATACAATATTCGGTGGTTATGAGCGTTTGCGCATGATGTAGCTCATTTGATCTCAAGCATTCTGGAAGGTAAGCAGGGCAGGCATTGCTTTCCCCTTTTTGTAGCATGGGAAACTCCAGTGCCTTAAATTGATGGCAACGAGTGACTGGTGACAAAATAATCATAACCTTTCAGGTTTTCCTTCCTTCCATTTCCTACCTTTGGTTCATAATGAACATCCTGAATAAATTTACTTCTTTCCTTAGGAGTAAAACTGGATACTGCTATATCATATTTACTTATTATTTATAATATTAATGGTGTATAAAATCTTCCTTTTCTCCTAGTGTATAAAACCTTCATAAAATTTGAGAACTTCATTAAAATGAAATAATGAAACTCCATTTAGATGAAGGAGGCGATATTGGTTAGATGTAAGAGAACAGCCCCCACTAGCAAGTTTAGAACATTGCCATCCTTTCTATTACTAAAGGTCTGGAAACGTTTGGTGGTGCTTTTGTATCTGCTTGAATCTGAAGAGATTACTATTTTAAACCTCTGAATCTGTTGCAGAATCTTCACAAACTATTGAGATTAATACTTAGTTGGTGAAAGTGGACAGGAAATATGTGCATTATAATCTACATATCTTTGATATCTGCCAAATTTTAAGAGTAGAATTGAGAACTAAAAATCATAAGGTCAAAGAAATTTAGCCTACAAAAAGTATTATTTTCATATGAAAACTAAAAAATTCCTTTTCTTTTTTCTAAGTATGTGGCAACAAGAAAACATTAGTTCCTAGTTTTACTAATCCTGGTTATTTCCCAAATTTGCTGGCCAGGGACCCCAAATAATTGATTTGGTAGGTAATTAATCCAGTGGAAAACTTCGGAAAGTCTTAAAGTTTACTATAAGTGGAACTGTTGGAAATTCTTGAGGTTTATTTGTAAGTAGCACCATTTGTATTAAGAGTGGGTCCAAAATTGCTTTTCTCTATTGTTTTCACATTTGTTCAGGGCTCTTTAAAGAAATAGTGCAGAAAATATAGAGGAGAGATGCAAATATATTTGACCTCACTCTGGCTTTTGTTGTAATGTCAGATCCCAAGTAGTTTTAGTAAAGAGAAATGTTCTTTAAAGACACTTCTCAGGAATGTCTCTAGTTCTTGTGTCAAGGAATAGCTGCCTAAATATCGGGTGAGTTTATGGCAACTAGTTCTTCAAGGAACTTTTATTTAAATCTAAATTATTTTGCTTTTGTTTTTTTGTAATAGGATATTTCTGCATCTTGAAAAGAAGATAAAACAAAAATCTTTGGATTAGATGGATTTTTGTCACTTTCTGTGAACTAAAGCGATTCAATGTCTCTTTTGGTAAGTTTTTGTTTACATGGATCTGATTTTGTGCTCTCAGAGTAGTTAGATGTTAGTGCAGGGCCACGGCTAAAGGCATATTCTTTTTTTTTCCATTTTGTCTTTTTTACTGACCGGTAACAGGATCGCAACCCTCGGTGTCACGCCCGTACCGGGGACCGGCAACGGGATCGCAACCCTCGGTGTTGCGCCCACACCGCGCTCAGCCAGTGAGCGGGAACCGGTCTCCACATGGGATCTGAACCCTCGGCGGGAGTGCCGCCGCGCTCCCAAGCGGCGCACTCTCCAGTGCGCCACCGGGCCAGCCCTAAAGGCATATTCTGATGGGATATTCTTATGCTCTGAGAAGTTATTTTGACCTGAGTAGCTTTTGGTCTTGAGAAATGAATTAAATTCTCATTGAGATTTTGTCTCTTTCAAAAAGAACTTTTCCTATACTTTTTTGATATACTCATTACTCTGATCTTTTGTACCATACCCACTTTTTCTCATACTTCTGTTGACTTAGATATGCCACTCTCATCCAGTTAGCTGTGCCTTGTCCTTTAAGTCTTTCAAAAATCCTTTTTATAAATGTCCATCTGACTAAAGTCAAGCAAAATAGTATTAAAAAATAAGCCCTTTGACTTAACAATTAGACAGGAACATTTGGATCAATGTATAATATGAGGTATAGATGCCAACTTGTTTTCTGTTTGTAGATCTATAGTTTCTACTTTAAGTAGCTTGAGGACTTGCATTCAATCTTATATATACTGTAATAGTTGAATAGGGAATTTTTACATTAAGACAGTGATCTTTTAAAAAGTGATGAGTGTGTTTATATGATGATTTGTAGTTTACAAATACTTTTATATATCTCTTTTGGTCTTTAAAATTGTGAGAGACTGGCAGAGCAGTGGTGTCATCCTCATTCTGAGTTAGCCCAAGACTGCAAAGAATTGGAGCCAAGGCTCAGACTCCTATCTTCTGATCTACCCCATCAGTTGCCAAGGCTGAGAGGCAGAACTATGAAGTTAGGAGACTGTGTTGTTAGTTATATGGAAAATACATAGCACATTTACTTTAAATGTTTAAAATAAATCTTTTCTTTTTGAAAGGGGAGCTTTATATATGTGGAAAATATAAAAACTTCCACTCTCTGTGAAATGTGAGGTGAAACGTCTCATTCTCTGTAACGGGGATCAGCAAACTTTTTCTGTAAAGGACAGAAAGTATTTGCATGCCATGTGGTCTCTGTTACAACTACTCTTCTGCTGTTGTAGCATGAAAGCAGCCATAGGCAGTATATAAATTAATGAAAATGAATGACTGTGTCTGTGTTCTAACCGTATTCATAAAAATAGGTGGTGGGTCACGTTTGGCTCATGGACCATGGTTTGCCAACCCCTGCTCTAAAGGATTACTTGAGATTTACAATTTTTTTTTTCCTTTTTGTCTTTTTTCGTGACCGGCAATGGATCGCAACCCTCAGTGTCGTGCCCGTACCGGGACCGGCAACGGGATCGCAACCCGCGGCGTTGCGCCCGCACCTCGCTCAGCCAGTGAGCGGCCGGTCTGTATGTGGGATCTGAACCCTCGGCGGGAGCGCCACCGCGCTCCCAAGCGGCGCACTGTAGCAGTGCGCCACTGGGCCGGCCCCTAAGATTTACAATTTTATATCAACTTATAAGCTAGAGAAGATGTCAAAGGGCATTTAGTCTAGTCTCCTCATTTGACAGATGAGGATTCTAAGATTCAGAGGGCTATGTGGTTGTCTTCTGGATTTTTACTTTATTATTTCATAATTATGGATTTTGCAAAAAGTAATAGAATATGATGAGTGATTTATATTAATTTGATTTTTCAATAGTTTTAACTTTAAATTACATTTTTCTGAAATGGTGAAATATTTTAGAATCCTTTGAATCAAAATATTTACTTTTTTCCCTAAATGAGAAGTTTTTGTAACTGAGATAAAGTTGATGTCTTTACTTATGAAGGATTCCTCCCCATTCAGGTATTACCCTCTATTTGAGAACTAAGAAATGTTTTCAAAAGAGCAGCATAAGTAAAATATTTTCTTTTAGATTCTTTATGAGGTGTAACTGCTTTTTACTTGGCTATGATACTGGATAAAGAAATTATATTCAAAAATATTTTGAGGAGCTTTCTTCTGCATAGTTTTAAATTATTGTGCTGCCTGAAAGAGATTAATGTGTAGAGTCTTCATGAGCTATTATATTCACCAGCATCTGATTGGTGCAGTGTGTATATAAAAATGTTTTGAAGGATAAGATATAGCTATATTGTGATTTTTATAACCTGGGCAGGTAATGAACATGCTAACATATTTTAGGAGGAGACAGCAAAAATATTCTGCATTATACTTATCCTGACTGGTTTTCACTATCTTCATATGTAATAGTGATCACTTTGTTGCACTGTGAAAATTTTGTATAAAGATGAAATAGAAGTCTACCATATTATTTTATAAAATGTTTCCTACATTTTTATAAGCTGAGAACATGGATCACAACTCTTATTTTGAAAATAAATTGAGATCAATTTAAGTTTTTAAAGAAATGCCCAATGTGTCTTAAATTAACTTCTCTTCCATCAAACAAAGTGACAGGCATTATTTAGAGAGAAAGACTCTTTTTATATGCTTGAGTAAATTTTGATGGTTGTGTCAGGGTTCCCCCAAACCACCTCTGGGTTGGTGATTCTCCAGGAAGACTAAAAGAACTTAGCATATAGTCATACAGCTAAGATTTATTAGCAAAATGATACAAAGCAAAACCAGCAACGAGAAGAGGTATGTGGGGCGAAGTTCAGAGGAAACCAGGCATAAGTTTCAAGAATCCTCTTTCACTGAAGTCACAAGGGATGTGTGCTTAATTCCCCCTGAGTTGTGATATGTGAAATGTTACCTACAAGGGAAGCTTATTAGAGACTCAGACTCAGGGTTTTTATTGGGGATTGGTCATGTCTGCATGTGCCCTCAGCTATCACATAACACAACCCTAGCCTCCCAGAAAAAAAGCCAGGGGTTCAGAATAAATCATATTGTTTGTACAAACAGGCACAGTGAGCCATTCTTAGGGAATGATAGAAACTCTCCCAAAATCCAGGTTCCCAGATACTAGCCAAGGGTCAACCTTGTACACAGGCCTTTTCTAAGAGTAGCAGTTTTTGGCCTGCTATGTTAACGCTCTTCTGCACAATAGTGTTAGTGATTGTTGTGAAAAATTCAGGGTAAATGTTACAAAAAATATATAAATACTGAGCTTAATGTGTAAATGAACTAACTGGTGGTTGTTTTCAATATGACAATAATAAGTATTTTCAAAAACTGTTTTATTATAAATATTATTCACCCTAGAAAACCCATATAAACTTTGCAAAGGAATTGATTCTGCAGCTGTCTTGACATTGTTAGCTTTTGTTTTTCAGAATGACTTTTACATAAAACAGTGGGAATTATATACCAAATTATTGGGATAGATTGGTAAAGTATGCAGACTGTAGGAATTCAACTTAAAATCATCAGTAATTTAGGCTAATTTGGAAAATGACTAGTTTGATTCGAGAGAAATTCTGGCATATTTTAAAAGAAAGGAGGTTTGATTACTCTAAGTAACTGACATAAAGTATTAAGCAGACATGGATGGACTTATATGGAAAGCCTTATTTGATATTGTACTTTAATCTTTAGCTTAATATTCAGAAGAAAACCACAAAAGTGATGAGTTACAAAATGAATACCAATTGTTAAAATGAATTAATATTATAACCTCAAGAAAAGAGAAGACAAGGATCAGCAATAGTGCCAAGAAAAATACTACCAGATATGAAGTTTATCTATTGCTTAACCGGCTGCTTTGCCCTTCTCTCCCATACTGAGTACCTCCATGGTATGGATCGTAGATTCGCTTCTGGGTTCCTGCATGCCGCCCTTTTTCTCTGATCCCCACTCCAGTCACCAGACCTTTATGTTTCCATACATCCCCTTTCCCTATCCCGTGACTTATTTTTCACTTACTTTAATGCATTTCTGACTTCCAGGATTGTTTCTGCACTTCACGAACACAAGTTGAATCCCTCAGACCTGCAAAACAGTCCGAAACCAGTATCCATCAGTACTTGGTAAGAAAAAGGTTGAGTATGATTAATACTCCTCCTTTGCCTTCTGTAATACCATTCACTCCTGGTTCTTCTATATCTCCTTTTCTTTACAGTGTCTTTTACTGTTTCTTCTTTCTCCCGCTATTCTCTGTGAATCTATAATTGGCCTCTTCCCGTCTTCCTAAATGGGCTCTCCCTTTTCCTATTGCATCAGTTATTCAGATTTCAGATTGTCCTCCAGCTGTGTTAGGTGTCTTGAGGGGACTCTGGCATCAAGCAGAACTTACGATTCTCACGTTTTTATCTGTAACCCCAGTCTTTCCTAGACACCAGAATTGTCTGTAGAATACCTCCAGTTGGATTTTTCAAAGGCATATCTACTCTGTTTGAATAAAACCTTAATCTTCTCTCAAATCTTACCAACCCATTGTATTTCCTGCTTGGGCTAATGAAAACCCATCTGCTATGTCATCCTGCCTAACTAGAAACTTCGGAGTTATCCTCATGCTGCTTCTACCTCTATCCCCATATTTAGTTATACACCAAGTCTTCTGAGTCTGCCTCTGAAGTGCCCTTGAGTCCAACCCTTCTTTCACATGAGTGCTGCTTCTACTCACGTCTCGTCTCTCAGCTGGAATACTGCATGTAGATTCATTGCCTCTAGTCCCCTAGACGCAGATAGTCTTCTTCCCCACTCTCATCAGTGTTCAGTACTGCTACCAGTACAGGCCTGCTTGTGTCGTTTCCAGCTTAAAAACTTCCATGGTTTCCTAAAACCTACGGGATAAAGTCTGAACTCCTTAGCATGATATAAGGACTTTTAATGGTGCGGATATGTCTAGTTTCTACATTCCATTTCTTGCTATTGAGTCTTAGCACATACTCTTCTCTCTGCTTGAAATACCCTTTTCTTACCTCCCTCTGAAATTTCTCCTCATCTGTAAAGAATTGTTTCATCTATCACATCTATGAAGGCTTTCCACTTTTTATTCCATTATTCCATTATGCTCCCACATATCTTAGACATTCCCATAAGTGATACTTACTGTATTTACTCATGATGATTGATTTGTACGTCTCTCCAACTATATATAACATGATCTTCATAAAAGTGGGCATCCTGTCTTACTCATCTCTATCTCCCCTGGGGGATAAATGCTTGATTTATTAAATAATATTTAAAGGAACATGCTTGGTAATAAATATTTCTCTGGGATCTTTTCCTGCCCTTAATCCTTACTTTATGCTGCAGTTTTTACTCCAGAATGGAGCCTACATTGCAAATGCCTTATTTGCTACAAAATAAGGTAATCCTAGTTAATTCTGCTTATGATTTATCTCATTCCTGTGTTCAGCTGTCTTCATTTTTGTCATTTCACTCTTTATTCTCTAATACTCCAGAGTACCTCAGATACTGTCAGTGGTAGTCACCCAGCCTCTGTCTGAATATATAATAGAGAAGGGATGATGGGAGGAGGCAGCTTGATGCCTGATCCACTGTTTGGTGGTACCAGTTACTGTGAATTTCTTACTCTTAACTGAAATCTGCATCCTGTAGCTTCTATCTGTTGATCTGAGCTTTGCTCTCTGAACAACCGTATTTACCCTTCTACATTGATCTTTTAGTCAATTGAGAATAGTAACTATATATATTCTTAATATTTTTTTTTCCAGATTAAGTATTCCCAATTCCTTGAGTGTTGCCAGACTTTCAGTGCTCTGGCAACACTGAAAGAACATGGTTGGCTTTCTCTGTGCATCACCATTTTGCAATGTCCCCCTTAAATTGTGGTGGGTCAGTAATCGATTGGTGCTCTGAGTACTATCTAATTATCTCAGAATACAGTGAAATTCTTATCTCTTTCAGTCTGCTCATTTTGCTTCTGTAAATATAACTCAATATTGTGCTTTTATTTAACCATCCCTGGCATACTGTTGACTGAAACCTCTGGGTCATAGACCTGGTATCCTCAATTTTGTATTTAGGCCTTTTTTTTTTTTTAACTTAAATATAAGATTTTGCACCTATCCCTGTAAAATTTAACTGATCTGGGCCTATTCTTTCAGTTTCTTAAGATGATTCTGAGTCCTGATTTGTTTGTTCAGTAATTAGCTATGCCTAGCCATGCATAATGCATACTTTTTTTTTTAAAAGCAGGTCTTTTGCATCATCAGGAAGTCATTAAACTGTTTAACAGAACAAGGAACCTGCCATAATTTTTGCTTTCTAGTTTTCTAACTAGTCATCAAATCAAAAAGAGAAGTGAAGTTAGTTTGGGATGATTTACCCTTAGTAAACCTGTGTTGTCTTCTTGTGATTACCATGTACTATGGTTTGGATGTTTCTCTTCAAAAAACTCATGTTGCAGTTTGATCCCCAACGTGGCATTGTTGGTATGAATGGCCTAGTGGGAGGTATTTGAGTCATGGGGGTGGATCCCTCATGAATAGATTAATGCCCTCCCTGGGGGGGCAGGGTTGGTGGTGAGTGAGTTCTTGCTCTGTTAGATCTCAGAGAGCTGGTTGTTAAAAAGATCTTGGCACCTCCCTTCCCCATCTTTCTTGCTTCCTCTCTCACCATGTGATTTCTCTTTGCACAGGCAGGATCCTGAGGCCCTTGTCAGATGTAGCTGCCCAGTCTTAGACATTTCAGCCCTCAGAATCATGAGCCAGATAAACCTTTCTTTTCTTTATAACTTACCCAGTCTCAGGTATTCCATTATAACAACATAAAACAGACTAATATACCATGTTCTCCTAAGTGCTCATAATTCATCTATCTAATGATTTGATCTCAGACTTTACCTGACAGCAGCTTCAAGCTTTTTGCCCCTTTGTAATTTTCCCCCTTTTTGAAAATTGGGTTAATGTTTAACTATTTCCATTCTGGTTTCTCATCTGTAATTCTACCATATCTGCAAACTTAATATCCCTTGGCCTGGACGTGTGAACATATTTAAAACAACCTGTTTAGAGCTTTGAATACTTATTAACAATATATGTGCCCTTTCTAGCTTATTTATTTATTTTTTTGGTGGCTGGCCAGTATGGGAATCTGAGCCCTTGACTTTGGTGTAATAACACTATGCTCTAACCAAATGAGATAACTGGCGAGCCTCCTACTTTAAAGATCATTTACCTTATGGAGCAGATGGAAGCAAAATAGAGGCTGATAGCTCTGATTTTTGGTCATCTCTAGGTAATGTTAAGCCATTTTTTCAAGCAGTGAACTGTGTTCAGTTCATTATGTCTCTAGCCTTCCTGACAGCCTCATAGGTTGATATCATTTAAAAATTTTTAGGGGCGGGGGGTTCTTAAAAAAATAAATAAATAGAAGTTTTAAAAATTGTTATATGCTCTTTTCACTGTCTTTTATATGTTCTTTAAATCTGAGTTTATCTGAAGACTACCTGTTCTGAAGAAATGAAATTGATTTATTTAGATTTCTTTTCTCTTTTCATTGGGATTATTTCCAATTGTATAGTAGAATTTCTTTTTACAATCTTTCATTCCTTTTGAACAATGTTCACCTTTATTCATCTTTAGTTAGCCATGGCTTATAATTTTTTTTTCTTCTGTTCTCTTTAAAGTTTAAGGGACACATAATCCTCCTGTCACTCTTGCAAACTCCATCTCTTTCTCCTGCTTAAAAAGAGTCAAAGATGCAAAAAGTAGTTAGCACAATTCCTAGCACGTAGTAATATTATTTTTTCTCTTTCTTCCCACCTTGGAAGCAGTAACAAGATTCCTACCATCTGCTGGTGCCTATATAAGCTTCTAAGTGTCCTTTGGGATATCCTGATGGCTATCACATGACTCCAGTGGTTTAGGCCTCTTTCTCTTGCATGCATGTTATTTCACTGCCACTGTATTCAGGTGCAACCTAAGACTGTGACTCCCAAGCAGCCCATGAGACCTCATACTGGTACATGGTCATTCACTCAGGAGGTCTGTATGTTACTCTTCTATCTCCTTAGGTTTGTTTTTCTTTCTGACTCTCTTCTGATTCATTTCATCTTGTGAGAAAACTTCTTCAGCAATTTTAACAGGCTCCAGTGTAGAAATTATTTCTTTCCTGTTAATACCTCCACTAGCAGAGCATGTACTTTGTACAAGAAATGGTGACCTGATGACCACTTGAAGCAAGAGTACAAGCACAGAATATTCTTTGTAGGTCCCTGCAGCCCTTCCCTTGTTATGTTTATTATACACCATGAAGAATTAACAGCCATGCTTAGCAACTTCTTTTTTTTTTTTAAGAGATGACCGGTAAGGGGATCTTAACCTTTGACTTGGTGTTGTCAACACCACGCTCTCCGAAGTGAGCTAACCAGCCATCCCTATACAGGGATCCAAACCCGTGGCCTTGGTGTTATCAGCACCACACTCTCCCAAGTGAACCACAGGCCGGCCCTGTTAGTGACTTCTAAAAGTTTTACTGGAAATTACACTGCACAGTATTCCTTGCTATCTGTAAATCTGCTTTTTCTGGTCTCTCCCCCTTCATAGGCTGACAGCTTTCTAACTAACATCAATTAGTAATGGGTAAATTTCTTTTAGATATTAAAGCAGTCTGTTAAGCTACTTTTCAGTGCCTTCCTAATGAACACCTCAGTGTTCGAAAATACAATATCAGTGTTTTATATTGGGGTAATGGGACCAAATTGGGGGGCCAAAATAGTTTATACTTATCTTATTTTCATCTTTTAAAAAAATGCAGGTTGATGAGCCAACCCTTTCCTGGTCACCTCCATCCACTAGAGCCAGTGAAGTGATATGTTCCACTAACGTGTCTCACTATGAGCTTCAAGTAGAAATAGGTAATAATCTTGGATTTCATATAATTGACCTTTTACTACTAGAAATGAAACTGATGACAAAAAAGATTATTTCATAGGCAAGTCTTTTTTTGTTATCATCTACAGCATAAAAGTAGATATTAATTGTGTTAGTCAAATGGATTCAATTCATTTCATGTCTAATTTAAAGTAATGGCCCATATTTTTTCAAGTTTGCTGTCTAGAATTTTTACTTTTCCTCTGAAGAACATTTGGAGGAGGAAGATACTAAATAATCTAAATACTTATTATTTTTGTCTTTATTGTGGGAAGCTTCTAATTTTATGGGTATAATTTATACTGGATATAAATTAAAATCAAATTATGTAAATCCTTTCAGTCATAGTCCTTTAATCAGATTATTTTCTAATTTAAAATTAGACAACAATCACAATAATTCCTTGAACTTGTTAAGATAAGTGAACAAATATGATGTTGATGGTGGGGGTAGTGGGGGGAGAGGGAGGGAGAAAAGGAGGAATTGGTAAAGGGACATTAAATCAACTATGTTGTATATTGATAAATTAAAAAAAAATTCAAATCCAGGGACAGAAACAAAACAACACCTGAAGGTAAAATTCAGGCAACCAAGGGATGACTAGAGAAGCTGTGTTAAGAGCAGTGGTTAGTGCCAAAAGACAATGGGACAATGTGTACAAAGATCCAGGAAAAAAGGACGACCAAAGAATTTTATGTCCAGCCAAACTCTTCTTCACAAATAAGAGAACACAGTCATTCTCAAGCATGCAAAAATGCAATGAATATAACATCTATAAACCCTTCTTGGAAAAGCTACCTAATGATGAAATCTCAGTAGTCAATAAATAGATAAAAACAAAGGACCTCAGATATGAAAGTTGTGCTGAAAGTCCTAGTGGTGAGCACATGATAGATTTAAATAAAAAACTAAGTCTATATAACTATGAGAACTATGAATTCTCATAGAATTATAGAACAATATAAATGTTACAAATCTCAACAGTATATAAATAATACTTTGACAAAATAGAGTGGTAGAGTGGGTAGAGAGATGTGTAAGCAAGTGAATTTTTTTTAATATAGTAGGGAGTAAGTACTGCTCTCCAAATTGAACCATAAAATTGTTCTAACCTCAATGTATTTTTGATCTTTATTTCTTAACACTTTAGGAAGTCATGTCTTACATGTGGAAGAAATCTAAACTTCAGAACTCTTTTTGTTTCCCATGTTTCTTCAACCAATTTCACATAAAATTAAATTTAATATTTTATTTTTAAAAAATTGCCTAAAATCCCATTTGTGGAAGAAACCTTTCTCAGTTAAGTGTGGAACAGGATGGGTTATTTATAGTTTTTATATGTGCAACATTTGCTTTGAATACTGAGAAGCATCCATTAAACACTGCAAAGCAGTGACGACGTTAGATGCTAGGGATACAAAGCCGTGTAAAACACTTGAGGAATTCACATCATGTCTGGAAGATGAACACATAAGATAGCTTTGTTTTATGCACTGGAAGGTATTGTAGTGGAGGTACATGCTGAGCGTTAGTGGAAACAGAGAAGATGGAGCATCCAACCAATCACCTCTGAGAGTCAAGAGAGAGGGCAAAAAGGGGCTGGATCCTGAAGAATGAGGCAAAGTTTGCTAGATGTGCTAGTCAGGGTTTTTGTTACACACAACAGAAAACAATCCTGGCTAACTTAAGCAGAAAATGAATTTTTGAACAATATCACTAACTCACAGAATTGTTTGCTAGAGAATCAGACTTGGAAGAAACTAAGAGAAGCTGGGTGACTAGGACGGGGCCATGGACTAGGAGCAGCCCAGTCAGGGTACTGCCTGGTAGGGTGCCCCCCCTCCAGACATCACACCCCAGTACGCTGAGTTCCGACTGCCCATCCTCCAATTGGCCAAGTTTAGGTCCCTGTTATGCCAGAGTCAAGGAGACCAAGGGAGAATAAGGATCTGACCTTTTCTAAAATAGCACATGGTGGCAAATTTCCCAGAATTAGAAAGGGAGTTCAGATGGTGCCAATCTAAAACGGGAAAAAAATGCTTACTTTAGTAAATGACTGAGGAAGGATTGTTAAAGGGAAATACCATACAGCTCCTCTGTGACTATAAGTGTGAACAAGGAGACAGTAGGCAGTGGTAGGAGATAAACCTGGAAAGGCAGGTTTGGAATACATTGTGAAGGACTTCAAAAGGTGTTTGCAGAAGTTTGGATTCCTTCTATTGGCCCCCACAACTTACCCACTTCATTACTCAAATGATTTAAGGCAGAAGTTTGGAATTTATCCTCTCTGTGCTGGGGAGACATTGTGGAATAGTAGTGATGGTAGTCATAGCGTCTAACAGGAGTTATGCTGAACACTTAACATGTACTTTTTCCGTTTAACTCTTTACCACTTCCATTTTGTGGATGAGGATACTGAGGCTGTGAGATAGTTATAGCTAGTGATTTGAAAACAGAATTTTCTGACTGTAGGGTCTAAGCTCTCAGCTGCTACACTGTAATACCTTCCCATTGATAAAATGCCAAATTTAGAACAACTCTGACAGCAGTCTGGAAGATAGAAGAGTGGTTCACAGCCAGAGGTATCATCCTTGCTACCTGTGTCTCTTTAAAAATTGCAGTGCCCGTATTCCATTGCATAGCTATTGAATCAAAATTTCTGGAGAATGGGGCCTAGGCAAAGGCATTTTGTTTGTTTGTTTGTTTTTTTTTGTCTTTTTGTCTTTTTTCCGTGTCCGGCAATGGATCGCAACCCTCAGTGTTGCCCCCGTACCGGACCGGGGACCGGCGACGGGATCGCAAGCCTCGGCGTTGCTCCCGTGCCTCGCTCAGCCAGTGAGCGGGAGCCGGTCTGTACATGGGATCCGAACCCTCGGACGGGAGCGCTGCCGCGCTTCCCAAGCGGCACACTATCCAGTGCACCACCGGGCCGGCCCCTAGGCAAAGGCATTTTGAAGTCGTTCCCTCAGTAATGCTGGTGAATGCACCGGTTGAGCGCGCAGGGCAAGGGCAAAGCGAGGGAGTCACTGCGTATATCCAGGGAGAGTGGACAGGACTTGAACAAAGGCAGTGACGCCGACACTGGAGAGGGAGGTGAATTTGAGATTAACTCCATTTCAAAGATAAAACTGACAGAATCGTGACTGTGGAGAGAGGGAAGGAAATAACATTATGAGTATTAGTTTTAATTTGCATTTCTCTATCTTGAGCATCTTTTCATACGCTTATTGGCCATTCCTATATTTTATTTTGTAGATTGCCTATTTAATTCCCTGCCTGATTTTTTTTTTTTTTTTTTGTCTTTTGTCTTTTTCCGTGTCCGGCAACGGATCGCAACCCTCAGTGTTGCCCCCGTACCGGACCGGGGACCGGCAACGGGATTGCAACCCTCGGTGTTGCTCCTGCGCCTCGCTCAGCCAGTGAGCGGGAACCGGTCTGTATGTGGGATCCGAACCCTCGG